CACACACACACACACACACACACACACACACACACACACACACACACACACACACAGCCCACTGCAGACCCTTCCCTGTGTGGCCTGGGGGGTCAGTGCTCAGCCACAGGTCCAGACCGCCGCGTACCCGCCGCTGTTGTTGTGAAACATGTTTGGAGCTCAGCCGCTGATTAAAGACCCCCAGTCATCAATCAGTCGTCGCCTCTCCCACCAGCCTTTCATCTGCAGCCTGCTCTCATTAAGACCCATTCGCCGGGCTTTGACGCTGAAGTGGACGAGGTGGAGGGATGGAGGGTGGTTGTATACAAGAGAGCCCTGTTTGAGTTGAGTTTGCATCCATCATGTTCAGCACAAGTGATGCCAGAGAGAAGTGGTTTGACTGGATTAGAGAGTGGTTACTATGACCAAAATGCTGCTGGAATATTCGTAATCTGTAAAACAGAACTGTTAAGTCATTTGCAATTTACTGAACTGTGCAAAAGTTTTAATCCACTCCATTTATCTGTGTTTGTCTTCAAAAAGCCAAACTTTCATATCATTTTAACAAGACTTGACCAACTGTTTTATTTTTGTTGTTGTTTTTTATATTTATTGGTATTACACTGAACTTTGACTGATTATAACTCACTTCCAGTCCAGTTGTTTAAATGATTATGACAGCGTATAGTGACAGATTTATGTGTTCAAGAAAAACTTAGAGGAAATGGACATTTAGAGGACAAAACAAGCGTCGGGTTTGAGAAACTCTACAACAAAAATATAAAAGCAATCAAGCAAGAACCTGGCACAGGACTCGAGAGATGCATAATCTTTATTTGATCATCTTTAGTGTTTAAAGTTTTCAGTTAATGGCTTTTTGGAAATCCTCTTGTTGGAGCTAAAGTACTGTTTCATGTTTAATCTTTAATATTTTTCATAGATTCAATGAAAGAACTGGGAACCACTTATGTCTTTAGGAGAAGTTGCTGATAACATTTTTAAAATACAATTTAAAACAAGCTGTTTATTCATTTGTTTGTTATATTTCATCTCAAAATTGGTTCATTGTTTCGGTTTAAGAGTATTTTTGCCTTAATAATTAATAAGTAAAAGTTTTGGCTCAGTAAACCTGTACAAATCAATCAATCACTTTCTTTTTTGTAAATATTTCACATTAAACATTCAAAAACAACAACAACAAGCAAAACAGAAACAATAAACTCATAATTTACCAAAAAAGGGATAGGCTGAAGCTTAGCTTATTCTTGCATACCCTTCTTGCCTATCTTCTGAAAAGATCAGATTTTAGACAAAAAAAAAGGAGTGAAAAGTCAAAGAAAAGATTTTAAACACCTTCATAAAACTAAAAAAGGATCCTTTTAAAAGATTTCAAGCATGAATGTTTGAAAGCGAAACATAATGATCTGAGGGATGGTTCAAGACTTTTGCACAGTGCTGACTCTGATTTACAGGTAATTTAAACAGTCTGCTTTATCGTTTCCCAGTTTATCTTCTGTCAATCCTTTTAGCGCACGCCCACGAAACTTCCGTCGTCCCACTGATCAGCGGGGATGACGCAGGTGGTTTGCTAACTGATTGATCGGATAATCTTCTTAGCGGGGTCACCATGGCTCCCACCGGTGAGCAGGTGGGTGAGTGCTGACGGGCAGATTCATGTAAACACGCACGAACCCCCCCATCGTGTGCACACACAAATACACAGAGCTGGTTATTAGGGTTGCGCTGTCAATCACAGCGCGGCGAGAGCAGCAAATCCTGAAAGAGCACGGTGTCTCGCTCACCTTGCTGAAAAAGATCTCGTCACCGCTGGCGGTCTCCGTGTCCACCGTGTATATGTGATCCCTGTCAGCGGCAAAGAGATGGAGGGAAAAAGCAGAGGGAGAGATGAGGTGATAAGAGGTCAGTGACAGGCAGTCAAAAAGAAAAAAAAAATCAACAAACAATAATCCCAGCTACTTTCTGTTCTCCCCCCGCAGGCTGCAAACAACGTCAGAAAATGGAGCTTTGTGTAAACTTTGTTTTAACTTCAAAAAATTACAATAAACAAAAGGAGGCCGGAGATATTTGCTCTGTCAGACAGAAACAGTCAACAAAGCTTCAGAGTGCCGTGGCGCAGGCCTGAGGACAAAAGCCTCTTTGTCCCAGAGAAAGGTCCTTAT